TACATTTTGGTTTTCTTTTATTTGGTATTCTTTCAAATGGCCGTCTTGTTTGTTTGCCTTGAAGACAGACTTCACAAACACTAGAATGCAGGAAACTTGCATGAATGCCCCATTCGTCTGTGCTAAAGCAACATTTCATTTGATGTTAAATGTATTTGTGCTGTTTCTGCGAATTTCCGTGCAATTACATAGAGATTTCCACATAGATAGCCTTTCAAAACCATTATTCCATTTTTAATTATCTGTGCTTGCTTATCTGTGAACAGGACTTGATAATCATTTTTTTGGAGTTTTTGCACTGATAGTAGATTATAAAACAGATTATTACATACCCATACATTTTTTTATTAAAACATTTTGGTCACTGTCAGTTTTCAAGTTCAGATTCCTTTTCTTTGTTGCTTGCACATTCTCCCCTTATTTTGCAATTTTTATTGAGTATGAGACTTCCTGCGCATTAACTAAAAACTGTCCAATGCCGTCATCTACCAGATGTTTCATTGCACCACTATCTATTATGAATTTGATCTCTCTACTGTTGCACTGGATCGCACATGATTCTTCGCTTATTTGTGAGATATCTTCACTTGCACCCTCTGTTAGAGATGTTATTCCATCACCTGATCTGTCACTACCATCAATACTTTCTTTAGCTACATGAACTTTTCCAGTGCCAGCCTTACTAAACTTATGGCATTCATACTTCATATGACTCTCGACTCCACAGTTATGACATTTGAATGGAAATGGCCTCCTTTCGTAATTTTCTGAGGAATTTTCCTGAATAATTTCCTCGAGAATGTCCCCCTCTTATCTGCCAATTTTTTCTAAATCCTGCAAATGCTCTGCCTGGTCAGTGCTTGATTCATCACCTTTATTTTCTTTTCTTGTTTCTTCAAACAGTAATGTATTTTTTAGAAAATCTAAGGTGACTTTTGATTCGTCTTGGCAAAACATGCCATCTATTAGCGTGACAACTGCTTGATATGACTCTGGCATTGCTGATAGTGGCTGTGAGACTATTTCACTGCTCTCAATTTTTACGCCAGCCATTCTCATTTCACAGACGATTTGTACGAAGGTAGTTGAAAAAATATTTGAGGGGGTTTCTGCCAAAAACTTTAGCCCTCGAAGTTTTTTTTGCAGCATAACTTGAGTTGTAATGCCTTCCATAGTGTATGTGTTGCTCAAATTTTCTAGGATTTCTTTAGCTGTCGGTTTTGTCTTTATCAATTCAAGCATATTGTCTGCTAAGCATTGTACTATTATATTTCGGGCTCTCACGTCGTCTTTCTTCCTTGTTTCCAGTTCCTTCTCTTTTGCAGCCACATCAGGCGCTGAGGGATTAACAATAGGGGGATATATTGTTAAAACTTAGAGCACTCCAGCTTGCTCAAGGGCTAACTTAACCCTAAATTCCCAGTTAGAAAAGCCTGTGCCGTTGAAGGACGTTACATTTTTTTGCTGCGGTGTTTGAGCTGCCATTGCTATAACTTTACTTCTTGAATGTTTGCCGCAGTGAACCTCACTGCCACGACTTACACAATAGTAAGCATTTACTATCGCTGGGCCCATAACCTCTGGGAGTTTGAGGAATATAGTGGACAAAAGTTGGACTGCGATTTGTAATAATCTTTATTAATTATAAACTCAAAATACACTTCTTGCTTTCTGTTAACAACACCAACTAAAAGTCAAAAGCTAAACATGTGTTATGTGTCAGCTGTCGAAAATTTATTTTTGATAGATGGAGGATTTCAACGCTACTATCGTAAAAATCCTTATTGATACAACCAAGTTTGGTTTTATGTATTGCTGCGTTCACAAATATGACAATAACAACAAGACTTGACCGACAGAGGTAGAAATGAAACAGGTCTTGGTAGCTCAGTTGTTAGAGCGTTGCACTGGAAATGCGAGGGTCTTGGGTTCAAATCCTAGTCGAGGCAAGAAAATGTTTCATCAATTTTAATTGAAACGTCTGCATGCCACGAAAATCCACCATTAAAATCAGAAAGGCGGGTAAAGGAAATATTCTAAAACTATTTTTGTAAATTTCGAATTCTGGTTCAAAACTATTAAAATCAAAATGCTTTGGATTTCAGATTTTGGTCCAAAAGTGATAAAAATTATAAACTTTAGGTCAAGTCTTCTTAAAAAATATTTGGAAAAATTTTGAATTTTGATCCAGAGTCGTGAAAATCACAAGAAACTTCTCAAAATATTTTTTTTTAATTTAAAATTTTGGTCGGTTAAAATCAGAAACGGTCAAGCTTTGAAAGCTTTCCAACTTTGATCTAAAAGTATTAAAATTCGAGAAAAAAAAACACACATTAAATTTATCTGGGCCGTAGCATCCTATAGATTTTCTCCCTATTGCGATACCTTTCAGAAGTTGAGGAAGTTTGCTTTCTTAACTTTCATGAGCTTGGCGAAAAGATCGTAAAATGGCATTCGAGCGCACTCTTCCATGATGTTTACTCATTTAACCTACATAGAATCATGTGTTTTCATAAATAGGAACGACATCTGGGATTATTTTCCTAGATTCACTGAAGCAAATAGAGATCTTATGGTCAGGCGCATAAAAACAAAATTAAACTCATATTTTGCTTGAAAATTTTCAAGTCGTTACCTAATAGTTGGTGATTTAATTCTCGATTTCATAAGTGAATTCTCTTTTTGATATACTTATTTGACAGTAAAGTCTCGTTTTTCTCGTACATGTTCGTATGAAAAATTAGCTCACTTTTTAAATCGTTCGCACAGGTAAGTCAGATAGATAAGAGCAACTTTATCTATTATTGAATATCGCGAAATCGCTGCCGGAGATTTTACAAAAAAAAAAAAAGAATTATAGATACTATTCCTCGGAAATCTGTGACACTCAATCATCATCATGAATCAGCCTTGTATCGTCCACTGCTGGACACAGGTCTCTCTTAGGGTCTGTTCCCACAGGAGTTTCTGACAGGTTGCAAACTGTCAAAGACTCCTGTGGGAACAGACCTTTAACCTAATCCATTTTGCTCGGCCTTGGGCATTTTGGCCCCAATTTGTAGATATCCTCTTGATATAATCTGTCCATCGAGTCGGCGGTCTACCCCGGCTTCTGTGAGCATCTATCCAATATCTTCTTCGTCCACCTATCATCTATCATTCTTGTGACGTGGCCTGCCCAGTTTCACTTTGGGTGTGTTATTCTCTCACCAGCATCTGCAACTTTAGTTCTTCTACGTATCTCTTCGTTGTGGATTCGGTCTTGCAACGTCACCCCCCAACATAGCTCTTTCCATGGCTCGTTGGGTAACTCTTATTTTGTTGATCGTTTTTTGTGTCAATGTTAATGTTTCTGAGCCGTATATCAGTACTGGGAGGATGCACTGGTCAAAAACTGTACAACATGTTTCAACCGACCGAAGGCAGCCCATGTTAGTCCTATTTTTTGGCTGAGCTCACAGGTCTGGTTATCTCGTTATTTCATCTCGTTATACATATTTATACGATGTTAAGTGTTGGATTTCTTTTTCTTCTATTTTAAGATTTCGGCTAGGGACCAGATTTGTCATAAATTGGGTTTTGGCGATGTTGATTTTTGATCCAATTTTTTGGGAAGCTGATGACAGTTTCGTGAGCATTTCAGGTCTGAGATCAGTACGATATCGTCAACGAAACGCAAATGGTTCAGTTTTTCCATTCACGTTTATTTCCTTATTGTCCAGTTCTATCTTTTTAAACACGTACTCAAGCAGAGTTGTAAAAAGTTTATGAGAGATCGTATCCCCTGGTCGAACGTCCCTTTCAATTTTAAACTGGTTTGCTTCATCATGCAATCTTCCTTTTGCTGTTGCGTGTTTATATATGTAACGCAGTAGCGAGATATAGCGGTGGTCTATACGACAGTTGGCAAGAGCTTTGAACAATGCGTGGTGGTCTACGGAATCGAATGCCTTTTCATAGTCCACAAACGTTAGCACCAAGGATTTGTTATCTCTTGGCTGATATGATTCTAATTTATTAGTAAGACGTACAGTAATGATGTAGTTTATATAGATGGTAAATAGTAAATAGTTTATATAGATGTGTGCAAACTAATCGGTCTGTAGTTTTGCAATCTGTGATGCTGCCTTTCTTATGCATACAAATGATGATGGCATTGTTCCACATCTCTTGTTGCTTCGTCAAGACATTTATTAAAGAGTTAAGTTATCACTTTAATTTGTTTGCTTGAAAAGCTTCATGGTCGACTGCTTTTAGTCTTACAGTTGTGGTATTCTCTAGAAGTTCAGGAATGTCGATGATGTGTAGTTCTGGTTCTAGGTTGAAGTTCTCATGCGTGTCTTCCAAAAATGTTCGATTGGTAATTGTTATTGAACATTTAGCTTTGGACTGGAAATGATTTCCATGTATTTCTTCTGGTCACATTGCAGCATTGCTGTCACATGTCGTTTTGGAATAACCAATACTTGATTGTTAGAAAGTTTTTACAGGTGATGACCAACGTGAATTCAGGGACACAACGGTCCCTGTTTAGGAATCGACCCACTGAGCAGGGACCGTTGTGTCCCTGAATTCACGTTGGTCATTACCTGTAAGAACTTTCTAACAATTTTCATTGCCAACGAAAGCTCAGACCAATCAGTGTGGTTCAACGCCGGTAGGGGTATTTGCCCTCGGAGTAGTTGTTTCTGATTGGTTAACGAAAATACTTGATTATTGGGTATTTCTTCAACTGGCGATTCTTCATATTGAATTTTTGTGAATGGGCATAATTGTTGTTCACTAGCTACAATATCGTGAACACAGGGCTCATCTTGTTTCAATAGTTCCATTTTCCACAAATAAATGTCTTCAATACTTGAAGATACATGTTGGAAAAGAGATTTGAGTTGTGAAGCTAACCCAATGGTTTTGTTCTTCACACAGGGAAGAGAATATATAATAGACAGGAAACTACAATCATGATGGATAAATTGAAATACTTGAAATTGAAACATTACCTAAAGTCTCGGAAAGAGAGTCAGCAGAAAGACGTCAACACTAAACATCAGAACTTCGTTACAGAACTGAATGAATCTAGGAGATTCACAGGCTTATTTATATTGGCAGCTTGATGACGCTTTTAGGATTCTTATTGGTCGCAAAACATGCGGTTTGTTCATGGAACCAGGAGTCGAGAGTCGTATTTTAAGACACAATCAGGACACTGTTTTGGGATCCGACTGATAACCCTTGGCTCTTGACACGGATTCTTCAGAAATTTAGCGACTTACTTAATCTCGCTGGGAAAAAAAAACATTTATTTACGACTAATGTATGTGCGTATTATATTTGTGATTTTGGCAGTATAATGACATATGTTATTCCTCCAGGGATTAATGACGAGTAGCGGGATTAATGGTCATTATTCCACAAAAGTGTCAGTGTCAAACGTGTAGTGCTTGTGGATTTGTATTGAAAATTATGAGACGGATGAAATTTGTTCATTGAAAATCTCAAATAAATTAATTTGTCGTAAATAAAGTAGAGTATACTACTCGCAATAATGGCTATTATTCCCTCGGAATGTTACTCCCTCGCCGCTAACGCGGCTCAGTTCGTAATAATCCTCGGGAATAATAGCTATCATTATTGACTCGTGGTATAATCTACTATTAATTGTAATACGAAGCGAAAAAAAAGGACTTTTAGGCCGTTTTGTTACAATAAAACTATTGGGCGAACAAATTAAAATACAAATCAGAAACATTAAAAAACAAGAAAGAAACATACACTACATATTAAAATTTTATTTGTTTTTTCCTTTTTTGAAAAAGCAAAGGGCAAACAGCTGTATCATTAATCATCATAAGTCAATGTCGTTCACAAAGTGAGGTTAGGTTAGATCGATTTCCAGCCAGGATATTTCATGGTACGGGAAACTTATCAAGGACCATCCTTTCAAAAGGTTGAACCAAAATCTCAAAAAAGGGGGCAAGCTAATGAAAGAGTGATCTCAAAAAACCTTAAAAAACGTGAAACCAAATACAGAAGAAAAAATGATATATTTTTATTTAAGGCTATGGTCCGAATATAACCAAACGTTAACCAAAGTAACCGAATCGGTTGACAGATGGTTACTGAAAATTCCGGTTATTTGGGGAACGCAAATATGAAATAAAAAATAATTGACAGAAATTACAGATGAAACCAACAGAACCGACATCCGATGGCCGGTAACTAATTTTGACGTTTGGTTAACCAGATTTCAGGAAACCGAGGTCCAAAAGTAACCACTTTTCCAGAAACCAGAGTAATTTGATTACTTTCGGACCGCAAAGCCATAACCCTGGTTATATTCGGACCATAGCCTAAATACATTGACAATCATGGCAGCTTCCTTGAAATGTCCCTGCACTGGGTCATTCAAAGAAACTATATTTTGTTCAGACTCATTCAGCTTTAAATCTTTCTTTTGCTTGTGTGAAATTTTAAATTTTTTTTGTCTATCAAAGGAGTGCAAGTTTTGTTCTAAATGCATGCCAAAAGCGGACTTGTTGTCATTTGGGGATTTTAAACAACAACAAAATGTTCTGTAATGTTGTCTGTCCCACGTATTGAGAGTAACAATGAGATAATTAAATTGTGGTTTAGCTTTTTAAGGATATTAGATATTTTATTGAAATGGGTCCTAAGAACAGTAAAGAAACATATCTTTTAGGTTGCCAGGGTGGAATGTCAATCATATCATCATTGTTTGATGATCTTAAAATTCTGTTAAACTTTTTGTGTACTAAGCTGTTAATCAATTGTTTGGTTTAACCCTTGTTGATGGCAATTTGGTAGATAATATTTTTCTCCTTTTGGAAGTCAAGCGGTAGTAACGGGATAAAAAAGAGTCTATGAATCAAAGAGTGAAAAGCTGCTAATTTTTGTGAGATAAAGTGGTTAGAATCGTTAGGAATTACATGGATTTTGTTATGGTGAAATCCAAAAAGTTAATTGGGTTGTTGGATTCGATTTCCATAGTGAATTGGATATTTTTGTGTAGGCTTTTTAAAAAAAACAGAACAGAACTCCTGCCTTGAACCTGTCCAAATTACAAAAGTGTCGTCAACTTAGCGTCTCCAAAGAAAAACATGACCTAAGAGTGGATTATTACTGTTGAACAATAACATCCTTTCAAAATAATTCATAAAGATTTCTGCTAAAAAAGGAGATAGACTGTTACCCATTGGAAGTCCTTCTGTCATTCTATGTTTTTAATTGTTAAATTTAAAGAAATCTAGTCCCAAACATTTTTTCAACAGGGAAGTAATACATTGCTTATCTATACTATTTAATTTACTACAAGAATCTAAGTATTGATTTATTAAATCTATCGGCTCATTTCTAGGAACACTTGGAAATAAATTGACTATTAATTATTGGTGTAGATATAGTAAAAATAATAAGTTCCTTTTGAATTATTACATGAAAGGACCTTATCTCATAGTATTTAATTACATTGTCAAACGGTACATGTTGACTGGTGGGTATATTTTTCAAGATCAAGTTCAATTCATTATGCTGCAGTATTGTACAGTACATTATGCTTGTGTGAGCAAAATTGATTGCGTTTTGTTTGTGGTTAATTAACTCGCGTAATTTACTACTGTGCATATTAATGTTTTCTAAAATTAGATTCATCAGTAAGATAATTTGAATATTTTGATTATCCGTCGAACTATTTCTTATCCTATCTGAAATTAATATCTGATTATTTTCGATTTTTAAAAATTGATCGTGAAATGTTTTCGTTACGTGTTTAAGTACGTTTGTTTGATCTTTTAGAATTTTATCGATAGTTTGCTGATTCTCATTTAAAGTCTGGATGTGAGAATCATATCTATCACCGGCATTTGCGTCTAATGTTGCATACAGCCATTTTTGTGCTGTACCTATGAAATTGAATACTCCACGTTTATTTTGTTGTTTTTGTGAGAATTCTTTTACCAATTTCTTCAATGTATTGATACGTGATTGATTAGTTTCAATATTTACTTGTAATAAAGTAACAATTTCGTCTTTATTAGACCTTTTGGTTAGATTTAAAGTATTGTTTAAATTCTTCAAAGTTATTTCGAAAGTTTTAATACTTTTTCCAATAAGGGTGGTATTAATGTGATAACATGCAGTGTTATGTTGTGATGTTAGTGGCTCCTACAGAAATCGGTGAAATAGGATTTCTTAATGAAGTTAACGTGTAGGCGTTACTGGAAATTCCTCTGAAGAGGATGATGAAAGCTACCAGGAACATTATGGTTTTTAGGACATGATGCTTGAAACTGTATCACTTTAACTTTCTACGTTGGGTCTTGTTGCTTCTTTCTAGCTAATTTTTAAAAAAAAAGTGGAACGAACTGGACTAAATTTTTTTTCGAAAATTCAATCTCAGGACTCTATAGCACTCTGAAGAACCGACTGCTCCAATTATGTTTTTCGTTCAGTAAATCTTGTTTTCAAAAACTATTTATTTTAAAACTAAGAAGTTACAACAAAAAATACTAGACTCTAATTGCTGCGGCAAAAAGCTGATAACAAAAGAATCTTGATTCTAATTGCTTAGCCTGAGCTACAAAACAAGAGAATGAGGAATGAAGGCTCTGCGCGCCGTATTTATAATAAAATACTGCTGACGGTTGCAATCATGTGGGCGAGACCTTGATATGACGGTACATTACTCCTTACTCAGCATCTTTATAATATCGTGGGCTTTTACAGTGGCGTATGCTTATATTTAACATTGAAATGGAGAATTATTAGTATAATAATAACATAGGGTTTTATAATATAACTCGGATGTTACATTTGAAAAAATGCTTTTTGTGTGTATAACTGTCAAAATATCATAGTAATTTGTTTTTTGTCCATCCTATCTAAAGCTAAGTCCTCATAATCGCGAATTGCGAACTTTTTTTTCTGCGGAATTTTTTCTATTGGTCTAAATTATTTGAAATTTTAATGGCGGGAAAATCTCGCGAATGTTTTCAACTTCTTGCGGCATCGCAAAAAAGTTAAAATAATTTATCTTTTTGACGAATAATCTGGGGAGAAGTGATGTTATGCTAGTTTATTCGCCAAAAAGTTAGCTTGTTATTAAGTTGAAAACATTTCCGAGATTTTCCCGCCAATAAAATTTCAAATATTTGGACCAATAGGAACAATTCCGCAGAAAAAAAGTTCGCAATTCGCGATTATGAAGACTTAGCTTAAAACTTGGAAAACAACCCTACAGTATGTTTTTTTTATTTATTGGAATAACTTCAAAAATAAAAAAATTATGATTTAGTTTAAAATGTCAAGTTAAAATGACCACCCGTACATGTCGCCTATTTATCAGAAGTCCGACTGCTCCTACAGAGCTGTTTTCTTCACACTTGTGGTAACACATATTTCCTGACTTCAGTTAGGATTTGGTTTTCTCCTCTTCTCCGGATTTCGCTTATTCCGATTATATCCCAGTGTATTTGTTCAAGTTCTTTTTCTAGTTCCAACACTTTCTCGTCAGATGGAAGGGTTTTCGTATTATATGTCGCAATATGCAGTTTTAGTCTTCCTTAAGTAAACTAATGTTACCCAGTGATTCTTAGCACCCTCCAATCGCTGCCTTTTCCAACCACTACCTTGGTAGGAGACTTGCGATCTGGCGGAGACTGAGGGCCATTTGTGATTTCTACTTTCCATCTTGGTTAAGGTTTGAGGGTTTTAGCCTTACCTATCACGCTAGCCAGTGCGGGTTGATAGGGGATATACTGAGAATTTAATTTCCTTAATTTCCGGTTATCCCGCCGATATTCGGTCGCCAGAGCCTCGTCTGTTATCTAGCAGGGCGCACTAGATAGTTAGGTACCAACAACCACTCGTGCAGGTGAGGTTGACATTTGGACCGGTCTTATCATTTTGCCTTCGTCCCTCACTAAATATCTACCAGTTGAACTGAATTAGTGTGAATTGTATAACTCTACAAAATACAGTATCAAAATAGGTATATGATAGAAAAGATTCCTATAAGTAAGGTATAGCCCGTTAGAAATTTACAGATATCATAATTTCGATTACTGAAAGGTTTTGAGTTTCAACTCCGGGCTGCACAGGGCTTCGACAATAAGGTTAGTGTTATTATAAAGATGAGTAAGAGAATTATTTCTATCATGTTGAATGTTATTTCAAAATATGTACCTACTTAAACCGATTGAAAATATTATAATTATTCAAAACACCTAAATAGAGAATATTAATATAACTGGCTATATTTTATAAATACCTAAAGTAAAT